CCTCTGATGCCTCTGACCAAACGTGGACAAAATCCTGACATCATTAAAGAAGTAGAAGAATTTTCAGAAAGTTGCTCAATTTCCCATATTAATCCCCGTCCCTACTTTCAAGGGGACGGGTGCTAGCAAAATCCGCCGTTTATCGTCTTTGCAAAATTGAAAATCCTTCATTCAAGAATACTCCAGTACAACTTTGAACAAGATATTATTTTTCCTGTAGAAGAAGAATTTGCTAAACGTAGTTGTTGACGGACGGACGACGGACGCTACGGTACAGCATAAACTCAAACTGGTCCTTCAGACCAGGTGAGCTAACAACGTTTCACAGCTGGATCAACGAGCAGATGGCTGTATCTAGACGTATCACAATACAGCCATTCCGTCTTCCACGACGTACACATGTGTGTAGTTCTTTTTCTCCGCTCAATATCAGAGTGGTACAAATTACCAGCAGACATTTATAATACTGTACAACTTTTCTTATCTTTTTTCGACTGTCTTATCTCATGTACTTTTATGTAAACTTCTCCAGCTGAAGACGCCCCAAAGCTTATTCTAAACTGCTATTCTGATATATATCTATACTGTAGTCATATCGTGGCATTTTCACTCGAGAATTAAACGAGGATTCCTCTGACCTCTCCATTCTGTATTTCAAAACAAATGAGCGCATTAAAACCCTTTGTATGAGCTGTTCTTGTCTAAAAAGGCAAATAGCGATGCAAAGATATGGCGATTTTCTACCAAATCTAAGAGAATTATTCTAACCCTGGTTGTGGAATTTGTAAGATTTTCCATTTGGATTAAACTTGGTTGGCGTTGTGTTTGACAGAACCTCAGTAGATGTCGCGTTTGGCTCTAACTTTGGGGCGGTGCGTTCGGCTTTAACTTTGGGGCGTTGCGTTCGGCTTTAACTTTGGTGTGTTGCATTTGGCTTTAACTTTGGGGCGTTGCGTTTGGCTTTACCTTGGTGGGTGTTACGGTTGACTTTAACTTTGTGGTGTTGCGTTTGACTTTAACTTTGTGAACGTTGCGTTTGACTTTACCTTGGTGGGTGTTACGGTTGACTTTAACTTTGGGGTGTTGCGTTTGACTTTAACTTTGTGAACGTTGCATTTGGCTTTAACTTTGTGAACGTTGCGTTTGACTTTAACTTGGTGGGCGTTGCGTTTGACTTTAACTTGGTGGGCGTTACGATTGACTTTATAACATTGTGAGCATTGTGTTTGGGCTTTACTTGGTAGGCGTTGCATTAGAGCATGACCTTGTAGGAGCTGCATTTGGCCAGAGCTTGGTAGCGTTAGAATATAACTTGGTGTGTAGCTTTATTCATGAGATCAATGACTAGTTTGCTATGAAATTATATATCTCATAATTTGGTAATAAAATGAGGCAAATATTTTTCTCGAGTCTTATTTGTCATTAAGAATAAGTGTAAAATGCTCTCAAGTGGAAACTTCTCAACCGTTCGAGGAAATTCTTTTAATAACAGTCAGATCACACCGTTAGAAACTGCTCGGCTGATCCGATGAATAAATCAAATCATAAATAGTCTGAAGAACTTATTAAATTATTGGAAATCGATTTTAGCGAGAAAAAAATGACATTATCCGAGCGCGATATTTACTGGGCAGTGCAACTCCAGAAAATCTATATATCGTAAGAATGGTGTGACTTCTGTAGGATACATTATTCTGGTTTGTTAAGATTTTAATGAGTTCTGGTATGATGACGTCATACTTGTCCACAGGAATAGCTGTTTTGACACCAGTAAAACAGGTAATCAGCAGCTGTTTACCGCTGATTGCAAACGAGTATAACATTATATAGCCACACCCTTTTTTTAATTGTAGGCATATTCGAACTGTCATTCGAGTGTGGTAGATTTAATGTTGAATATATATTTTTTCAATATTCATCGAAACGTGGGAGACGCAAGTTACATGGACAAGAGTGACCAAGAGGTCGCGCGCAACTTCTAATTGTCCATTCATTATACGTCCACGATTCAATACACTAGACTAGTACATATATACCATCTACATCTGTATGTTGCAAAGATTCATATTTAGTAAATAGAAAGTGCCATTCAGACCAAAACTTGTGACATCGCTTTATGTCACACTGATAAAGATCAGTTGATAAAAACCGACATGTCAGTGGCAAAAATATATACATATACAGTAGACAAGTTTAAAGTATTTTTTGTGGTATAGTTGTACTTCTTCCATGCACAGGACAGGAAACTATTCAAGAATCATGCCACAGAACACGAATGCAATATTAGGAGTGTGTATAGATATCATTTTGGACTTAACAGCAATATTAACAGGACAAACCAGACAAAGTCTTGTCAGTCTGAGATATGATGGCTTCGTTACATTCCACCAGAATTTGTTCATGGCTGACTTAAACATCAGGTTTAAGCCTACACAAACATTTTCCCTAAATAGGAGTACACATGTACAACTGCCAACAACGTTGTTAAGACCATGTACAGAATTGCATCCTGACAGAAGTGTCTGCGAGTAACGCGTTTGGATCCCAATGGGTTCAAACGGAATAGTCATAACTAAGAGCTGTGGTGTCTGGGCTTCGTGTGAATATTATCTAGTCTTACAACCAGACTACCAATATCAGGATAGCAATGACAGGATCATCTCTGACATAGCTGATAATAATTGTTTTAAACAGAGGGCAATTGGAGACTGTGATTCCTTAATCATATCACCGTGTGCTGTGAACCTCAATCTCTTGTACAACAGGAATCAAGAGCAGTTAGTGCATTTTTTTATGATTATGCAGTTTGTACAAGATGTGCATCCTCGATTTCTTCCAGCAAACATTGTTACTTAACATAAACTTGATATACAAAACTAAGAAATGTTACTATCCTCTACCTTGTCATGAAGTCGTCTTTGTAATGAGGAAGGTTGGCTCGCAATGTTAAATATTGTGTAGCATACGTGTTTGTTGTTTATATATTGCATAACTATTGTTTGGATATAAAATAAAAATGCCTTGAAACTGACTGATATCAGATGAAGATCCAAATTTACTAAATTTTACACCGTTATAAGATGGGTAAGTTTCTCACTACTCACCGTTTAACTTTGTGTAGTAATCACATAAACCTATACAGGTAAGGTAGGGCAAACACTGTAAATGATCAAACTATCAACTCACTCCATTGTAGATCATGTTTAAAAGTCAATTTATGGTTTATTGTTTTGTTTACATAAAGACTAATTTATTGTATAGAGAAGTATAGACACCATCCTAAAAGACCGATGTTAAACTTTCTCTCGACACCTTACATGGAAGATCGAGCGGTCGCCATACCATCATCGGTTTAGGCGATAAAATTTATGAAATGCCCGACATATATGCCTGAAAACATCATGAACTTTCACAAAAAGCAAAGGTGAAATCAGATATGAAATCCATGTGCACATCTTCTGAATCTGATAGCTCTTAATTCCTTTGACAGATACAGAATAAAATTTTATTTGTTTATTTTCATTTCCCTTTTTTCCTCGGGACAGAAAGACAGAAGTGGCTTGACACTTTTGTCTCTCTTCATCCTCAGCAAAATACATATCTGAAGACACTGGCTAGGTATTCACTATTTATACCGCAACTGGCGCTGCATTTCACCTGCCATATATAGTTTTGTTGTAGTCGGCGGGGACGAAAAACGGTGGTGTTTTAAAATGTGCGTTAATTCGATAGAATTACTTTCTGAATTTACATTAATAGGTCTTAAAAAAACTGTTGAACTAGGCAATTTTATATGTTGTAATGAATACGTTTGTTTACGAAAATTGATAAAATCGCTGCCATATTCGTGGCGTTTGGAACTAATGTATATTTCTGCGGGTACTTTGGCATACGTCATCAGGCAGAATTCAGTTTTACGGCAACGTCAAGTAAACAAAGATTTAACAACGAAACTGACGAAGTTTTGATTGTCTACTTTTCCATCATCATCTCATGATAGAAGAAGAATGCATGGTCAGTGTCTTGAAATATGAACTGCATTTTGGCTTGGGACAAAAGGACAAAAGTGGCTCGCACCTCCTGTCTTTCTTCACCATTGCCAAAATACTGATAATGTTTTTCTCTATATACTGTCTTGCTAAATTAAATCGGCAAGGTGCAAAATCGTATACATGTAGTGTACAATACACTTAAATATATATATAAAAAACGATAGAAACATATAGGAACATCGTTACTTTTACATGGTACAGACGCACGTTTCTATACAGGCTGAACGAACTAATTTTGGAAATTAAATATTAAAGCTTTTGCCGCACAATGCGGAATCTCGCTGAGTTATGATATGTATGTACATAAGCAGAGTAAAGAAAGTGTACACTGCATTTGATTAGTTTGATGTGAACTTACTCTACGTTAATTATGAAATATAAACATACATTATAAATGAAAGAATATTGATTACAAACATAAAATTGTTTTTAATAAATAATTCAACATTTAACATTAATTGTATTTAATAAAAATGAATGCAAAATTGAACTATAAAACCAATTAATGTATAATCTCCGCGTAAACAGGTTGTAATCATGTCACACCATCAAGCTGACTTACGCTGAAACTCCAGGACGTCCATGCTCAAAACGCAGAGATTAGTAATATCTGTTAACAGATTACCTGTACATCGATAACTTACGATATTCATACTTTTAATCAAATGCTTACAAAAATCCATTCTTGGTAGGCTATAATAAAGAAGTGTACGATACAATAAATATCGAGTTAATATATTTTATAATCCCGCTATTTCATCCAGACACATTAAGTTGATCCCCGATCCACGATTTTGTTCGGCTCCCTTATATTGTAATTGCAGTTATGGTAACTACTGATGCGGAACCATCAATGCAGTGATGCTGCTTCAGAGTGTTTACAAACAGTTCACCGAGATCTCGCCAACCCAGTTTACGAGAACCTGCGAGATTAGCGGACCATTTCAGATTCAATATGGCTGCCCAGACTACTACACAGAAATTTAGTGATATATACGATCTAAAAGAAGAACTTGGAAAGTAAGTATGGATGTAGTTTTTCAATCACTTGGAATTATAATCTTTTACGGAATTATGCATAACCAAGCGCCGCGGATTATATCCTCCGTTGGTTGAACAGCGAGTTCATGTTGACAACGTATCTGTCAGCGGCAGTGTCATCTCAGTGTGTCGGTATCATATGTGTGAGAGTGCGGAGCAGCACGAAAGGAGAGACATCAAGTGGAGCTCGCGCGAGTCTGCCCAAAAACGGATTTATCTATCCCATAATCTTGGATTATCTATTTATTTCTAGCACTAATCCATCACCACGATACCGGGTTTGTGGAATTCGCTAGTTTGTGTATTAGGCGTACCTGTGTATTAGACGCTAGCATATGTTGATGTATGCATAGGAATGGAACCGTTTACTTAAAAGTGTAAATGCACATGTGTAAAATATGGCTTCCTATTTCTAGTGTATCTGATTATTACTCAAACTTCCGTACACTCCTCTATATGATTACATAACATTTTTTCCCAATATCTATCAGTGGATGTTATCATCATTATTTGATAATCGCAAAACCATTACATAATGTCATGTGCTCCTCATTTCGCTTTTACATATTTCCATTGGTCTCAGATAAAATTTTCACCAGATTATTATCATCAGATTTAAGGCAGTTTAAAATCATGTTGACTCTACATTAGTTTATTTATTGAGTTGTTGTAAACAAAATTGAATTTAATAGTGTTTTCCGACCAATTTAATCAGTAAAAACATTTATTGCTAAATATGCAGTTTACTTTTCAGTTTTAAGTGATGATTAAAAGTATGCAAAATTAAACACTTCTGAATATTCACATTTTAAATTGAAACATGTTGGATTATTTCTGTATAGAGTGTATGGTACTTAAAGGAAGAGAGCATACACCACTCACAGATGTATCAAATCACATTAGATTAACATTTTCAACTAACAATATCTATCATTTATTATCAAAAACTTGAAAAAATGTGACAGATGCCAGCTCATAGTCAGCTTCATGTACCAGTGTCTGCTGATCTTTGAAATATGGGGACTCCATCCACTGAAGAGTAAATTAGATACATGTATATAGCTGCACAGCTGACCAAAAATAGGAGACCAAAGATAAGTCTCGAAGTCCTGGAGTCCAAGTATCGTTAGTTTTATAGGACTTGTAATGATTCTGTCATTCATTACCTGAGAGCTTTTCATGTTCATGTCATTTTTATTTTGGGGGATGGGAGTTTGTTATAACATTGACCATTACATCTCCAGTGATCAGCATGTTGACATATCAATTACACATGTGGAGCTGCAGAAGCAAGACAAACAGGAACACATTATCATAATCATCAGTTGGTATGCCGGAGACCTGTACAATAATAATGTTCTAGTATCATTTGGGAAACCAAATCATAGAATAATGTATTTTGTTTATGCAGATAAAAAGAAAATGCAGATCTTGTGTTATTCAGGTGTCTGACATCAGCATGCATGTGAATATTAGAACAATGTTTTATGTGTCCCTGGAATATTTTGATATTTTCCCCTGCTTTTGAGACTATTGAAATGTACTGCATGAATTAATTATTTTGATATGTGCAATTACTAGGAACTTGATACATATTTGATTTCATCAAAGAATTTTTAATGAGGTCAGAGCACCATGATGAGTATAGTTACAAAGAGACATAATGAGTTCTCAAATTTTGAGTACCACAGGAAAAGCATGAGTCCAGGACTCAAATATTTGAGTCCCAAAAATCACTGAAAAGTCATGCAGCAATCTTCATTGCAATATCCATTCATAAATATATTGCTACAGGTTAAATTGTCAGCTTGTCACTGGACTGACTTTCCAGAATTGGGACCTCATTATTTGTTCAGTGATAGTAAAATGACATTGTATATTATTTATAATTATGGGTAAAAGTATGAATATCACAGTGAGCATAGTAATTAGCACTAGAACATCTTAGAAATCTAATATTAGCATGATCCTAAAAAAATCAATGCAAGACTTCTACAAAACAAATTTGCTTGGTTATCGTTTTCTGTTGATAGTAGCTTATGGCGGGAAGTGAGTCTTCTAGTCGTCCATTATTTCTGTAGACTGAACCTTTACAAAGACATACACCCACATACCTGGTACACACAGAATGTTTTAATTTTATCTCATGTCTCTCTGGGAATGTTTATTACTGATATTTCTGCTATCGTATTTCAACAATGGTATGAATGAAAGCTCATAGATGGTGGTAATATGCAACCGTATGACAAATTTTAAATATGTTTGTAATGATAACAGGGTGTAAATGATATGGGTCAAGGCAGACAAGAAAACAAACATTTCAATGCCCTACTGATCACTGCCATTTCAGTACTAAAGGCAACTGAGGTGATAAAATGTCTTAGTGGGCGTATATGTGGGTGTAAACATGCGTCCCTCCCATCTTTAATCTCAAGTTCACTGTTGTTCCATATTTTAACAAAGTAAAATGCACTGTAATGCTTAGTGTCCTAAATTTGACAGATTTATGTTTTTGTGTTTTTTGTAAAATGATATGTTCAAGTTTCTCTATTGAAGGATTTTTGTACAAGCATGATATTTACTACTTGTGTCACAAAATGAAGGTAGGAGACATATTGGGTTGGTATCCTTTCAACTTTAGAAAATGCTGAGCTTCTGAAGTTGATAGAAATTTAACTATCTACCAATTTGTTGTTTATAGAAAACTGTAGAAAGTACATTGTGTTAGATTGGGAAATAATTTTAATTCATAAAACAATTTCAAAAGCATTCTGAATAAAGAGTAAGAGACATCACGGTCAGACACAAGATTATGATTATGTATTTCATAATTTATTACTTTTTAATGCAATCTGTTGATTTTGGTAGGATTTTTTCTGGTAATTACACTTACTGTGCTGTTCTGAGTAGTTTTATAAAATGTGATGGACATCAGGGATTCTTTTTGTAAGCAATTCACAATGGCTAAACAAAGTTCACTGCTACATAATGGTATGACATAGTAGTATTTTATTAAACACAAAACTGTTTGGTGATCCTTTATAATTAGTGAATAGTTACCTGTATATGTTAAATTTTGACAAGAAATAAACTGAATGAAAACAGAATGATGTCGGCCGGATGTCAAATGTAATAGGAGCCAGAAAATTGGCAGTCAGAAGGACTTTGCCAACTGTTTTTACATAATGTATTAGCAAATATGTTTTCCTCAATTCTGTAGTCGGGCTGATGTGACAGGAACTTGAATTGAGTCCTGATAATTCTTCACATTTCTCCTGTTTGATTATTTCGGAACTGTCTAGTCTGTCTAAATATTCATGATAGCATCAGCAATTATTAGTGGTTATGGTTGAAGGATTGTTATAAACTACTGGACTCCTCTCATATGTCTTAATTTTTTTATGCTTGTGTCATCTGTTCTTCATTGTCACCATACAATGCCAGGCATAGACAGGAAAGATTTTCTGTTTGATCAGTTCTTAATTTTCACCTTGTATTACCTATATAGTGTAGACAAGAAAAAGTTCTACTCTATCAGATAGAAATATCCAAAGTTCTGTTCAGGGTAAGTTTGATCAATTCTTCCTTAGCTTTAGAGTAGGGCAGAAGAATCTTGACCTGAGGATGAAATTCTTAATTGTCTAACTCGAGACATATGGATAGATAGTCCAGAAGCTCTCCCTAAGGTTATTGAATATTCCTTTTGCTGCCCCATTTTCTGGAAAATATTTAATTGATCAGGACATTACAAGTAATGTGTAACTGTACAACCACAATACTGTATGTCGTTTAGAATTAATTATTAATTAATTTATTAATGAAGCTATTGACCCTGATACATCATGATAAAGACTTCAAAATAAAGGAAAAGGATACATTCAAGCATACAGAGTGATTGCATATAACGTCGACATGTGAACATAGAGGTCCAATCACAACACACTGTAACAGTTAACCTGCCAACTGGTTTGGCTCTGGAGACAGATTTGTCAAAGTGCATAAAATGATTGTGGTTATAAAAATTGAGGTGGTGTGTTACCCTAGAATGTTGGTGGAAAGATTGAGGTGGTCTGTCACCCCAGACTGTGTGTAAAGATTGAGGTGTTCTGTCACCCTGGAGTGTGTCTTTAAAGGTTTAGGTGACCTGTGACCCTGTTGTGCGTATAAACACCAAGGTGCTCTGTCACCCTGGAGTGCATATAAAGACCAAGGTGCTCTGTCACCCTGGTGTGTATATAAAGATTGATGGGCTGTAGTCACCCTGGTGTATGAATAAAGATTGAGGTGCTTTTTCACCCTGGAGTGTGATTAAATAATGAGATGCTCTGATCTGTCAGTCTTTAGTGTGTATGTAAAAATTGAAGTGTTCAATCTCCCAGGAATGTCTGTTAAAATTTAGGTGCTCTGTCACCTTGGAGTGTGTGTAATGATTGAGGTGCTCTAGATCTGTTACCCTGGGTTTTGTGTGTAAAGATTGAGGTGCTCGGTCATCCAAAAGTGTGTGTAAAGATTGAGGTGCTCGGTCATCCAAAAGTGTATGTAAAGATTGAAGTGCTCCAGATCTTTTACCCTGGATTTTGTGTGAAAAAATTGAGGTACTCTGTCACCCTGGAGTGTGTTTGTAAAGACTGAGGTACTCAGTTGCCCTGTTGTGTGTGTGTGAAGATACTGACCACTTACTAACATAATGACCTTACCTTAATAATACATAGGTATTGGTCATTGCCAGTGAAATGAGTTTGCATCAACAATTGACAATTGGTTTGAGATGTAAAGCCTAAGGGCCTTATTCTTGATTTAGATATTGAATACAAATAATTTGATCTTACTGATATAGGGTATACATTAATACAATGAATTAAAGATTTGGCTATTAAAATGTTATGCCTATTAAAGAGACAATTAACTACAATACAATCTACTTTATGAAACTTATTTTGACATGCCTTATGAATAAGATTTGTTAAAATATTGATAAA